GGGCGTGTGCGAGAGGCGAGAACAACCGCGACAGTTTCACGGGAACGCGCACCTGTGTCGCTACCATAGGTCGCTACGCCTTGTGCTCAACCACTGTTGCTACTGAACATAGACTATTTATGCTGCTCCCTGATAGAAGAAAAATGTTTCTGCTGATATCTGTTCAGAAAAAAAAAACAAGATAACAGATTTATATGGCCTGGTTGCTCAAAAGGTGCCTTTTATGATGTTACGATCGTGGCTCTGGACTCTGATGGTAACTTGTTTTAACAAGCTAGATAAAAGGTAAAGCCCTGGCAGTGGCAAATAGCTTTGGTTTTATATTTGAGTTGATTACACTAATCTAAACATTCACAAGAAATATTTTGTTAGTACTGTGTAAAGGGAATGCTACTGGTAAAAAGCACTTTATTTGTTTAAAGTGTTTGCAAACCACATGTCATTGCACATTTTACAGCAGTACATTTAAATTAAAAGTGTAGCAACAGTACACTACTTAAGAATTCATTATCCAGTTTTGAGCATAACAATTTGATTAATTGGGTAATATAACGTAAAAGTTAAATATTGAGTGAGGATACAGCGCAGGTGCGAGTGTTGTTCGCCTGGCCAATCACAAAGCTCTCTGCTGATACATGATCCTAGGTCAACAATTTGGACCAGAGGCACCTTAAATTATAAGAAACGTGATCTTTTGACTGTAATTTAGGCTGTGCTGCTTTACTTTCTGCTGTATCTTGTATCTGTAAATTAATTACTGTTATTGTTATGATTATGGTTTTATCGTTATTTATCTCTAGGATCAAGGAGTTTCTTCATTGGCATATTGAAATAGGCTATTTGATATTTTATGGGTGGCTGTGCATGGACCTTGATAACTGTTCTTTCTGAAAATGGCAATAAAAATATCTTTTTAAAAAGCTGTAACTGGTAAAATCACAATATTTGTATTAAGCCTATATGGGCTACTTGAGGACCAGCCTTTTTGCTATTCTGACCTCTGACCACAAACTTTACTCAATCCATGCTTAAACACACTTCTTACACTGACCTATTGTCCTCATTGTTTACTTATACTCTAAACATACAGAAAAGCCCAGATACTTTTTATTTACTACTTCCTTTCCAAGATACAAGATACATTTCGTTATGCAGCCTTGTGCTAATATTACTAATAAACAACCTTGTACCTTGTATACATTATCAACAACATCATGCAACATGTGATAAGAAAAGTCTGTTGCTTCAGAAGCACCTGTTCACAACTATGTCAGGACTTAAATTGACATGCATTTTTCTTTATTTACTATTAATTTTATATTTCTGTCTATTTACATTATGTCAGTGCTCTTGACTAAGCAACCAGGGGTAAGTGTCTTGCTCAGGAACACATTTGTGGAGATGTTCCAGTGGGGAATCGAACCCGGGTCTCTCACACCATCCCTTAGAATAGGAAGCTTAGAATAGGAGGAGGTCGGTCACTGGATGCTGCACAATGACCGACCTCTGCTTCTGATACTGAAGATGGGAAGTATGAATTCAGCCAAGCTGAAAATGACATGAAGTGGAGGACATGACAGCTGAAGAGTCAAAAGCAACAGTAGATGCTTGCAGAGATGCAAAATATGTCAATATCAACCTGCTGACATATTTTACAGATGCACAAATGCATTACATGGATCGTAACGCAGGACGCACTTTTACCAAGGACCATAGATGTAAAACCCCATCATATATCTGGTTTTCAGTCTGCCATGGTCTGTTATGGTAGGCCTATATATAGTTGGACCATGCAGTGCTCCATGTAGCATGGAGAACATGATAGGAACACACTGTACCATACCATAAAACTAGATCCACCCAGTCCCATGTTCAACCTTCAGTCTCCTAAATGTTATTTATTACAATCAAAATGTGCTGTTTCAGCCATGCTCTGTAATACTGTCATTTTCATCTTCTGATGGGGGTTACTCCATTTTTTAAATTTTACATTAGCAGCTATTTTCATATGCCAATATTTTGAATTAACCAGAATTTACAAAAGCTATAAGATACCCTTAAAGTCCAGAGAGAACCAATTTTTAACCAATTTTTAATTTAAAAAAGTCTATACATGTTTATGTGCTACAAAGCTGTCTAACAAGGTAAAAACGAATGTACTGTAGAGTATTTCAGCTGGACCGGTGTGTCATTTATGACTTCTATATATTCTTGGAATTTGTGAATGTTAAGATCCTTCAAGAGGCGGAAATCTGACTCCAAACTGACTTTAACCCAACTCCTGTCCATGTAAAGATAAATGTAAAAGACCTCCGATCATTAGATTACTAATACATGCATTAATGTAAAACCAGATTTTACCGTTGTAGTCTGTTATAGCGAAGCTAATTTTATACTATTTTGTAAACTGTGGGCTTGTAACTAATGATTACTAATGTAACTAATTTCCATTATGGATTAATCCTGGATTATTTTCTCGATTAATAGATTGATTGATTTGTAGAAATTATGAAAATAGTGAGAAATGCTGTCAAAGAGCCCAAAGGTACACCTTCACAATGCTTCTTTGTTCAACCAATAGTACAAAATACAAAATTATTCTAAATAAATCAAAATAATTTAAAGGACAAGAAGTAAATTTTCACCTGAAAACACTGAAAAATGATTATCTAATTTTCTTTCAATCAATTAAGCTACTAATTTTTTCAGCTGTACTTGTACATTTTCATGTTTTGTGTGCAAAAATCTAAGCTGTAAAATAATTGTAGTGAAGTAAAAAGTACAATATTTATATTTGTATTAAGTGGCAATGGTAACTTTGCGCTTAAGTACGACACTTGAGTAAATGTACTTAGTTACATTTTACCCTTGTTCATTTTGAGTGTGCAAGTGATGGATCCTATTCTTCCATGATGCATTGTACAACAGAAAAAAGGCGGCATTACTCACAGTTGCAAAACATTAAAACACATTGTAGCTGTTAGATAAAATAGCTTTGTGAAACTAAAAGTATCAAATCTGTGGGAAAACCTTTTGTCTTCCCCTTTAATCTATTTGTGAAGTTTAATTGTCAGTGACATTCCAAAGTCACAGTTAGATTTTTAACACAATTAGTACAAAGTGTAATGTAAGTGACACACTGTTCGTCTCTCTCTCTCTCTCTCTCTCTCTCTCTCTCTCTCTCTCTCTCAACAACAGCTCTCTCTTGTGGACGACTGGTTTAAATGCCTTTTAATTAAGGTCTACTGGGTGAGAGTGTCAACCTGCAGTAGTAGTACATCAGCAGGGCTCTACTTTCTAAGCTCACATCAACACAGCAATCTACCCCACCGAGTCGCTAGACCTTTTTTTACTTTAGCTGCACCACACATTCAAATGTTCAATGTTTCGAACTTGTAATAGTTTTCTTTACTGTCATGTGAAACTAATTTGGATGCTGTGTATGTTTGCTATAACTGCAGCTTGGGTCCCTTGTTGCATGTCATACTCTTCTTTCTATCTGCTAATTTCCTTGTTGTATCTCTTTTGTTATTATGAAATAAAATAAATTATTTAAAAAGAGAGAGAGAGAGCTCTTAATCTCATTTAGATGGCCTGTTTAAATAAAGGATTACCTACTTGTAATTCTCTATGTTGACTGTTAAGTGTCTACATCAGATGTAGTAGATATTATACAGATTTGGTTGCTGTGGAGATAATTCCTTTTTCATTTATTCAGAACCTATTGTTTGTTTATCTTGCGTATCTGACAGATAAGGCCTAAAAGTTGTGATATTACAGTTGGTGCATCAAATGAGTAGGGGGTTGACAACAACACAAACACTGCACAAATAGAATATAAATCAATATCCCTGCAACAAACGCTGGCTTTGTGAAGCTTAAGGTTCTGACACTGTGTCATAAATTTCAGTTCAGTTCAGATCTCTATTGTTCCACAAGAGGAAATTCTTTTGCAGCAATGCAGCATAAAAACACAAACTTAAAACAAGAAACACAAACGCAGTAAAAACCCACTAAGACAGTTGAAGACATTAAAAGTTCTTTCCCAGTTACGCATTTCAGAATAAAACAAAGGTTGTTTGATTATATCAATGAACGTTGCAACAACAAGAATAAAGGATGTGCTGGAGGAAGTTTCTAATGTATTACAATTAAGAGCGCTTACTGCAATTGGGATAAATGATACCTTGAACCTGCTGCATGTGATTTTTGGAAACCTGTATAAATTGTGTTGCCTTGTATTTGATTGTTATATATTCATATTGTTCATGCACAGACTTGAAAATGGCAGTATACACTATACACAAAAGGGGTTCCTGATACTGTTTCCACCCGCTATAAATAAACACTGCCACAACAAACTCATTCATGTCTAAGTGGATTACTCTGAGAAAAGCACTTGTTGAGAGAAGACTTGCACAGATGTATGTAGTCCTAGAAGTGTCTAATCTGGCCAGACTGCAGAGCCGCAGGAGACTGCTAACAAGGGTAACTGCCGATTAAGGTCAGACTGCAGCACAGCAGACAGACAGGAAGACTAATAAACACCAAACTCTACCCGTATGACCATCCTGCAGCTCTGCCACCAGGGATCTTTGCTCTCATCACAGTCGTAAAACTGACTCATGAACCTGAGTCTGGAGGAAAGTATAATACATGCATTTGTTTCACTTCTCCTTTACTGAGAAACATATCATGTACTCTGCGGAAAGGATGACAGTCATATCACACAAATAGGACAGAGATTCTGTGAGTGTGCATGGAAGCATGGACTGAAAAACTTTGGAGCTGCAGGTCTCGTCCTCAGCCGCTCCTCTCCCTGGACCAGGTTCAGCTGATCAGACTGTCAGTACCTGCAGCTGCAGCCAATCATGTGATGCTAAACGTGTGGGACTTCCTGCTGTTCAAAACCATAGGGGGAGAGGACAGCCAAACGCAAACAGCCAGCTGAACCATCAAACAGGAATATCCATTGTTTTAGCTGTTTCAGGGTCACATATGGAATTAAGATTTTCCTTTGTGTTGTTTTTTATTTTTATAATTGCATTGTTTGTTAAGTTGGGATATATGGAAACTGCAAGTGTTTCTCGAGAATGAAAGGTAAGGACTGTTGCTTTTGTGCCACTGACTTCATTAACGCATATTACCAAGCATGTTCCCGTCTTTTGAATAAGGAGATGCCAAGACAAAGAGAGTCAAATAAAATAACCTTGGTAATGAAAACAGAGTTTGAATTTTGAAGAAGATACTGACAGTAATATGTTTATATGTGTGCATTGTAGAGGTGAACTAATGATGTAACGTGTTTTTCCAGCATAGCTTTTGATCGTGTCAGTCACAGTGGAGGGAACTGTTTATCGTTGCTGAAGAACTGCCAAAGAACTGAAAAACATGGTGAGTCTATAAGCCCCAAAAGTCCCTCTCCTATTTATTTTCTTATTGTATTCTTGATATCACACAGTCTGGGTATGACTTTAGAACGGAAATCATTAGTCAAATTAATTTATTAGCTGGTCAGAATGAATCATAAACACTTTTGATAATTGATCAAAAATGTCAATTTCTAGTCAAAAATGACAGAAATGAACTGGTTCCAGCTTCCTTTCTGGTTCTAAATGTGAATATGTGCTAGTTTTCTTTGTCTTCTACAATAATTTATATCTTTACTGACAAAACAAGATATTTGAATTTGTCACTTTGAGCTTAGGGTAACTGTGCAATTAATGAATTGATTAATGGACATACTATTGCACATTAATTGATAATGAAACCAGTCATTAGTCAATGTCCTGTCTTGTTTTGCAACCACCAGATGTGAGACGGCAAAGACATTATATCACATATTATATGTAGTATATGTCCTGTGTTGAAATCAGTGGCAGTCTCAGCGGCATGGTTTCGGTGGACAGAAAGACCAAATTGACTGTGTAAATAAGGAGATCTTTTGATTGATAGCTCTTCCCATTAACACGACAGGAGACTGAGTGCGAGCAGTGGGCAGAGAGCCAAACTGATGAGGACAGTGACACAGAAGAAGTCCTGTGTGGAATCCATGTAAGCATTACTTTTGTTTGTTGTGGTTTGAATTATTTTCTCTCAATAAAGTAACAAGTACCATCACACACTTGAGTAAAGATGTACAGAAATTGATCCATATGAAGTTCAGATCAAAAAGTTATCATATTGTCTCTGGATGCAGCAATGACAATGACTCCCTTTGGCTCGCTGGCTTTCTTGGAATGTGAACCCCGAAAATAAACACATAATAAATAATGTGTATCACATAATGTAGCTGTAAGCAGATAACAATAATAATAATAATAATAATAATAGTAAATTGATTTAATTTAAGTGTTATTGGTGTACTGGTAGCATCCATAATAGGTGAATAACAGGTAATAAATGATTGATACACATAAACAACTCCATACATGTATTAGCTGTAAATGTACAGGTACAAGTCATTCACAAGCAGGTATAAAACTCTTAATAAATGTGTTCAAAACCCTTGAAGACGTGTTGAGATTCAACATTCTTTGTTGACATCAGAAATAGTAGTTTGTCAAAAAATTCTTAACTTAAAGTCCACTTACTAGATGTCTCTTTCAGCAGCATCTTGTGGTCTTTATCAGCAAATGGAGTTTATGAAAGTAAAGAAGCATTTATAAATTAATAAGTAAATATGTAATTGATTAATAAATTAAATACAATTGTAGTAAATTCTTAATCATAATCATATTAAATGTACTTTTTATGTAATGTAATTTATTATGACATATTCATGCTTTACAGGAGGCGTTATGCAATTACAGTTGACACATGTATTAATAAACACTTGTATTATGTGTTATGGTAAACCATAAACCATTCATTCATTGTCTATATGCTTCTTATGACAGATACAAAATATTGATTGATAAAATAACATTTTATATCTTAAGAAACATTTTGTTTCTTCATGATGGGAATAATTGCCTTCTTCACAGCCATTATTGTTAAAAATCTGAGTGGTTTTATCCCTCGGCCCCCTGTGGTGCTGAGCTGTGTGGACCATAAGGTAAGTGTGTTAGTGTTTGTCTTGGCAGGAGAGCTGTGCCACTGACCTGTATCACCACCCCCAGCTGGATACTGACATTGAGGCCGTCAGGACTTTGTATTCAGACTCTGCAATCTCTATCAGGTCAGAACAACATTTCGTGTCCATGGCCTTAAAAGGAAAGGATCTCTGCAGCCCTACATTGTCAAATGTCCCCTTCATTTTCTTCTGCTAGGGAGTATGCGTCAATTGATGATGTGGATGTTGACTTAAACATTAATGTCAACTTTCTGGATGTAAGTTAAATTTACTATACACTAAATTCAAGTACAATATATTGACGTGTTTGGGATCTTGTTCTGTTTAACATGATTATACTGTTTGGTGTCCACAGGAGGAAGTGGCCAAAGCTTGGAGGGTTAATCCATCAGAGCCCATCGTTATCCGTCTACACTTCTCTCTGTCTCAGTATCTGGATGGACCTGGTAAGCATTGACAACGCTGCTGCAAAACAAATGGATTAGCTTTCTTAACCAGTTCATTTCTTCAGTTTATTAGAAAAATTCTATTCAAAATCACCAAATTTGAAGATACATGGTTTTCACAGGACAGCATCTGAAAAGTAATTAGTAACAAAACTGTCAGACAAATATTGTGGAGTAAAGAATCCAAGATTTGCCTCTGAGATGTAGTGGAGTTAAAGAATAAGGCAAGCAAGTTTATTTGTAGAGCACATTTCAACAACAAGGTAATTCAAAGTGCTTTACATAAAACATAAAAAACAACAGGGAAATATAAAAAAGTTTCAAAAGAGTTAAATAGAAAACAAATACAGACAGATCTCTCACCTTTGCTTATTTTACTCCTTTGATTCCCCATCCCCTCCTTCTTTTTTAACACTTAGGGACTCTAACCCTTTAACACTTAATAAAGTTGCATATAATGGAAATGTACAAGTAATTTGACTTTGTAAATGTACTTAGTTTTCATCACTGACTCTAATTCGGTGTGACACCTGATTAAGGGATGTTTCTCACTACAGTGCCTTCAGTCGAAGTCTTTCAATCATCGAACACAGATAATTTCAGCCTTGGGAAACAACTACAGAAGTGAGTGGTCATATTATAATTGTATAGCAGCAATAATTAGATTTCTTCGTTCATTAGTAGCCTACATATAATAGAAGTCAAACGTTAGTTTAAATTTGGATGAACAGTTTAAGCCTTTCTATGTTAATCATAACTTATCTTACTGATTGCTCAGACTACCTCTTCATTTGTGTCCCCAGTATTCTCACAGTCTTCTTATCTCGGGAGTGGAAACATCTGACCAACGAGAACATCGTAGTCCGACAGAGGAGCAGACACAGTTGGTTCAGGCCAAGGGAAAACATCAAGAAATTTAGAGCAAGACTTAGCATCTGGCTCCTACTGTCAAAGTATGTGACAATTAATTCAGCAGTTTTGTCGCTGATTCAGTATGTTCTTGAATCTCTATTCACTGCTTCCTCACTCACCGTGGGCAGGTCCAATGAGCTCCAGGAACAAAAGATAATTTTACCAGCGAGGAAACAGAACCGTTTCACAAATCATACATCTTCCTACACTAGCAAGAATCACAGAGGGGAGCTCTTCGCCTACACAGCCAGTGGGAAGGTGAGGACTCCCTCTCTCTGTGACATTCACTTCAGTATTTTATGGATGCTGCTGATTGCAGGTTTTTGTCTCCCCTATTACAGTTCTGTAACTGTTTAATGATAGTGTCTGTGTCCCTTCTTCCACAGAGGGTGGTGGTATCTGCAGTCAAGTCATCAGCACAGCTTAGTACCAAACAGCTGATAGAGCTGCTTTTCTCCTCCCAGGCCATCAGGCACTGTAAGACCACCCCGACTCTGCAGCATGGCTTCTTGGTACAGGTAAAAAAAAAAAAAGAAAGAAAGAAATCATCAGTGTTATATTGTGACAGAAAGAGAGTTAAAGAGTAGCTGCAAACCCGTCTTGTAATCCAGCTAGTGCTGACATCTAGTGGTGACCATGTGCTCTTTTCCACACCCTGTGCAGCAGTGATTTAAAATGCTAGGACGGCCTACTTGTGTTGTAAAAGGTTCAATATTAAGTTCACTGATTTGAAAAATGACAAACTATCTGCATATTGCACCATGTTTAAATAATGAAAAATGCTACCTAAAAATTCTAAAGAAATATTAAACAATTGACAAGACAATCTCACCACAAGGTCCACTCAGTAGCTTTTCTGGAGCTTTCAATCATGTCACACAATTTTCCAAGCAGGTGGAATTACTCAGTTGTCATGGAATTGTATTTTTTGCCCACTTTAACCACCATCATAGCTCAAAAGTTAACAGTCTACAACATGCATTTTATTTTGACACTTTTGTCTAAAGCAACATACAAATGAGGTACAATCCTAGCCAGAGGCGTCAAGAAATGCCCTAACCTTAAAACAAGAAATGCCTTTGAGTATAGGCGCCACAACACTCAGTTGCTCCACCTGACACAGGTGGCAAAAGGTTCAAGGTGCAGGAAGTAATAAGTGCAGAGCAAACTGCTTTTTTTTAAACAAAATATTGTATACTCTTTACACAAAATAGACTGTTACGATTTCACAACTGATCACAACAGAACCATCAGAAATCTATATTTCTGCGATGAGATCACAGTGACAGCAACAAGAATTCAAACTCATTTGCTTGGAATTTATTTTGAAATGAACAATATTAAAACAACAACGCATGTTCTCCCCGTGTCTGCGTGGGTTCTCTCCGGGTGCTCCGGCTTCCTCCCACCATCCAAAGACATGCGGGCTAGGTTAATTGGTGACCCTAAATTGTCCTTAGGTGTGAGTGTGAGCGTGAGTGGTTGTTCGTCTATGTGTGGCCCTGCGATGGACTGGCGAACTGTCCAGGGTGTACCCCGCCTTTCGCCCGATGCCAGCTGGGACTGGCTCCAGCCCCCGCGACCCTGTATGCAGGATAAGCGGTTGACGATGGATGGATGGATGGATGCAATATTAAAACAACAATTCTTCACAATCATGTAGTTTGTGTTTAACAATGGGCAAAATCTTGCAAAATAGTTCACAAAAGCAATTTTAATTTTAGTTTAATTTTAGAAGCAGGTGCTAAGTTGGATTGCAAGCAAAATGTTTTTCATTGTGTATGCAGATAATTAAGTATGCTGAGCAGAGAATCCCTACACTGAATGAATACTGTGTGGTCTGTGATGAGCAACATTTGTTCCAGAAGGGGCCTACGTTAAAGGTACACTCCTACAAAGAAATTAGCTGCTGGTTTAATAAAAAAAATATAAGTACAGTTGACTGGTAATTTATTGTTGTTATTCTGCTTTGTGTGTGTTCCTAGCCAGCAGTTTGCACCAGGGAGCTATGTGTGTTTTCTTTTTATACCTTGGGGGTTATGTCTGGAGCTACAGAAGAGGTTGCCACTGGTGCAGAGGTTGGTAACACTTACACACACTTTTATTTGTAGTATACGATTACTGTATTGCAGTAATCTGTGATGTTCTACAGGTAGTTGACTTGCTGGTGGCCATGTGCAGAGCCGCCCTTCAGTCTTCACGCAAGAGCATCATATTTGAACCGTACCCTTCTGTTGTTGACCCGTACAACCCCAAAACACTGGCATTTAGTCCTAAGGTATCAGCTGAGCAAATCTAACATATTACTGGCTTGTTTTGTAATGCACTATTCGGTCATTTCTTGTTTCTGAATCATGTATTGTTTTATTGTGGCAGAGAAAGAGCTATGACAGGCTGCAAAAAGCTCTGGACAGCGTCTTGTTAATCAGGAGGATAGCACAGGTGACTAATCTTTTAAATAAATCCTACACTTACGACACCATTTTCAAGCTTCGCGTCTGGTTCTCTGATGAATGTTTCCTCGACATTTGCATTAATATAAGTTGGATGAATCTGTATTTTGCCATATCCAGGGTCCAAATTCTGAAATAAAGAAGCAGATGGACAAGATAGACCCTCTCGCTCATCCTTTATTGCAGTGGTGAGTGATACACTCAAAAGTAGCATTTCACCCATATTTTTATTATATTTTAATACACTTGATATGTCATCAAACCCGAATGTTTCTTAGATTCATGTGTGTTTGTATGTTTGATAACAGGATTTTAGCAAGCAACAGATCACACATTGTCAAGCTTCCGCTGAACAGGGTATGATAGAGTAGTTAACCATTAGAATGTAATGTCTCAACACACTAGTAGCAAGCTTTACAGCAGTAGTAGTTCATAATTAGCCGAATGTGTTTTATACTTGATATAAATTATATTCTGTTGTTTCTCTCTCATCTATTTTTTAATATTGCTTGGTGCACAATAGCAACTTAAGTTCATGCACACACCCCATCAGTTCCTGTTGATCAGCAGCCCTCCATCCAAAGAGGCTCGTTTTCAAACTGCCAAGAAACTTTATGGCAGCACCTTTGCTTTCCAGTGAGTAAAATCTAAATCTGTGCATTAATGTAAAAATCTTCATATCAACACTATATACAGGATATGATCCCTGTTTCATATGCTAAGACCCTATTTTCTTTTCTTTCAGTGGTTCCCACATCGAAAATTGGCACTCTATTTTGAGAAATGGGCTGGTTAATGCCTCTTATACAAACCTACAGGTAGGCCCATGTCTGTATGAAAATAAATAAAGGGTTTTGTATTCTTTGAGCTAACTTAATTTAAGCCTTTAAATCAAATGTTCACAGTAGAGACTTCAACAGACAATATCTTTTTGTCAGACTTAGATAAACAGTGTACAGTTTAGACCCATGTTCATTTTCTACAGTCTGGCCTCTTTTCTATTTAAGCTTCATGGAGCTGCATATGGAAAAGGCATCTATCTGAGTCCTAGCTCAAGCATATCATTTGGATATTCTGGTATGAATGCACAGTGTAATTAATTTCCATATTACTCTGCATAGAAAACGACCCATTTATACAAAGGTTACCATTACTTAAAGATGCTAGCATATTTTTTGAAACTTTTCCTCTTGTTCAGAAATGGGTAAAGGGCGACACCAAATACCCACCAAAGAAGAACTCATAAAGAAATACAACCACATAAACAAAATCAAACAGGTAGATCATCATTCACGTTTGTCCAGAATTTGCAGAGATGCACTCTTGTTTTCTGTATCTTATCCTGTGTTCTCTTCTTCTCTTAGGAACAGCCGGGGCAAACCAGGTTTCTGCAAAACAGGAACCTAAACTGCATTGCTCTCTGTGAAGGTAGATCTGAGATAATGGATACGTGTTACAAAGAGCTGTGATTTGATAATACTGAAGGACTGATTTTGTGACACAGTTTTATAAAAGTTGTCCGTGTGTCTGGACAGTAATAACCTCAAAGAACCTTCATAAACATGGGAACATTTGGGTGTGTCCGATATCTGACCATGTGTGCACACGTTTCCTCTTTGTGTGAGTATAACACTAAGCAGCATAGACGCAACTGCATGAAAAAAGCTTTCGGCTCAATAAGACATTTCCAGACAATATTTCAGATTTCCACAACATTCTGCTTTTGTCTTTCCCAGGTATGAGAACGGCCAGGTGGGAGATGTCCATATCAACACTCAGGAAGCCAAGATCCACAGGGAAATTTTACAACTAATTGCTTCAAAGCCGTGCTGAGGCTTGGAAGCAAGTACAAAACACTGACTGAAATAGGTCTTATTTTCTTTGTGGCTAAACTTATTAATTTTGGATTTACCCTCTGCTGTAATTTGAATCTGTGTCAAACTCTGTACTGTAAGCACATATTTTGTACATTTTTATAACCATACATTTAAAAAATAAAATAAAAGGTTCAAATATTTGCTAATTGTGTCCAACAGATGATTTCCTTTTGCATGTTAATGCAGATTGGCCACAGCTCATACGTCCACTTTGTAATTTATGTAATATGTGTGTTGTACCACAAGATGGAAGTGTAAACACAGTGCTAACACTGAGTCAATAACTCCACACAATTGTTATGTTTTGGCACTTATAAGTCAAAGTGAAAATGAAACATAGCCAACTACTACAGATGTTTAAATTAGAAAGCATTTTGAGTACATTCAAAAGGTGGATCTTGACGTGAGCAAGTCTAGCAACACTAGACAACAACTGCATAACACACGAGATGTGTCACGGGAGTCACACCCAAAATAATCACTGAAACTTAGAGTTTTTTCTGGCATATGCACGGACTTCAGTGAACCACATCCATTATCCAGAATGTTTACCAATATTCTCATGATGGGAATATATTCACTTATGGACAGTTAATGTGCATATAATTGACATTCATGGCTAGTGGATTATTCTCCTGGGAAACCAATTGCAATTTTCTCTGCACTACGCTGACACCACTGAGATCCACTTCTTTGTGGTGATTGTTTTGAGACATTCAATATGGGGTGCATACCATCCTGTGAGGCAGAAATGCACCATTATAACAGTGTACTGGTTCCATATGAGCCCCACAGCTGCCTCCTGACCTCGTCCCTCGGTTCAGCTGCTCTAAAGAGAGCATCTAGGAAAACATTTCTGTTTGCATCTTGATACTGATGTTTTCTTACAAGTTCTGGTATTATGTTTTTATGCAAGTTTGGCAAAGAAAAAAGCAGCAGCTCAAATATATGATTGTCTTTATAAATGGCATTGATTCAAAGGGGCACGAATGATGTAGCAAACATTTTCTGGGTCAACCCAGCAGGCGATGGACTGAAGGGAGGAGAACTGTGAAGTTGCTTTAATTGCCCAAAGGAAGACATTTCTCAAGGACCATATGGCTCAGTGGTGATAGAGCAGAGGGGAATTTGTCTTTTAAACCATGATGCATGGTATGTAGGGCTAGGCGATATGGACCAAAAAGTCATATCCCGGTACTGTTAGGCAGAATTCCGGTATAAAATATATATCCGTATTTAGCAGGCATGTTTTTACTATTTGTATCAGCTTGTTTCTTATTTCACCGTTTTAATTATAAGCTACCTACATCATTCTCCTCCTCTTTAGGCAGTGTCACTTCTTGAATTCGCTTCCTTCAGTTCTCTTCACACTCACACACCTACATATGCTACTTCTGCTGCAAACACATCCGCGTGCCCGCTTCTTTTGTCTCTCTCTCCCTGTGTGTCTGCTCCAGTGACTTTCTCCATCAAAATTAGGCTACGTTATATAAAATCCCCCAAAAAACAGAAATAGTCTTCTATACTTTTCCACCCGCGATTCCGTTCACAGCAGCAGCTGAGCCGCATGTTGAGGAGGCGTGTTGACGAAGTAGCCTATCAGAACAAAACCAACGTGGTAGCTAACAAATAACATCTGACTGGTGTGTTCACTGCCGCTTAACCTGGTCCGCTCTTGTAAAATAGCCATGGTGCCACTAGAAACACTGTCTTTCTCTGATAAATGCTACAATGCGTCGCCGAAAAAAAACGCCAAAGTACAGTGTATGTGTGGGAAACACTGACTGAATGGTTGTTTTTTTACTTTTTTTTTGTCGATGACACTGTCTCTCCTTCCATGTTGTTAGAGTTTGTGAGTAGACAACTGCGTGCAGATGCAGAGAGAGGGGCGGGGCTGCATGGTGAGGGAGAGAGGGAGGAGGCTGGATTTTATGGAAACATTAATTAACTCAACATCAAACTATATCGCAGCAAATGGTATTGTCTAATTTTATATCTCTTGAAATTATATTGGTTTACTTCAATATACCAATATACCGCCCAGCCCTAATGGTATGTTGCCTTAAGTAGCCTATTGTATTATTTTCTAACCCCAGTGAGATTGTAGATTGGTGCAATATTTGTGACAAAAGGCACATTAAGAATGTCAACAATCAAAACGAATTCAGGTAAAACAAAGGATTGTTTCAACTACATGCCCTGTTAAATCTCATTAACTCATGTTTATTCATCCATTTAATTCAAGCAACCACATGGACAAATTAAATCTCTGAGCCCTAGAGGGTTTGACAAAAGCTTCCCTCCAAAACCAACTAGAATGTGATAGGCATTATTAAATGTTGCATGTGCCTTTAAGAGCACTATGTCCCACTCTACATGTCTCTCTCTGTGCCTCATATGTGTTTGTTGGCATCAGCTGTCCTCAGTGCTGAATAGAGCTAGGACATCTTTTCCTTCACGTCAATGGGATTAGAGGAAGAAATATCCTCTTCATACTGCTGGCTGCCATCTCAGTGCTCAGAAGACAACATGGAAATGCAATATCGACAGAGGACAGAAAGAAGAGCAAGATACGTCATAAGTTTTGATTACAGTTTCTAATATCTTTTTCTAAATTAACAAGAAATGTGCTACCGATCTCAAGGGATGTATGCAAATAATCAGAGCCTGCAACTCAGAAACAGCATCCTGCGCTGGTATTTCACTGCTTTCTAAAAAATGACTGAGCCCAGGGGTCAGATAAAGAGTTCAAATGGTGAAAGCAGTACTGTAATGGGACTGCAGTCTGCTTCATTCAACCCTGATGTCCCATCTTCCTCTTTGTCTCCAAAACTTGGCCAGAGCAACTTCAGGATAGTCAGCCGCACACAGGACAGCAGTCCCTATCCGATCCCCGGCATGGCAGCAGACATCCTGCACATGCGAGTGAAAGAAGGAAGCAAGATCCGCAATTTGCTGCGGTTTGCAACAGCTCGCTTGCAAGGGGAGGGAAAGGACAGCAATGGGACATCCTTGAGACAGGTAGTCTTCACTGGCTCAGGTAGAGGAGTCACCAAGACCATCACTTGTGTGGAGATTCTGAAACGTAAAGTGGGAGGGCTCCACCAGGTGTCCAAGCTCTACTACAAGATGGTGAATGAGATTTGGGAGAGTCCACAACAGGGAGCACCAGGTATAACCATGCAAAGGACAGTCCCTGCTATCTGTATCCTGCTCTCTAAAGACCCTCTGGATTCCCAAGAGCCTGGATACCAACCCCCCCATAGCCTGCGTGTTCCCACAGAGGATGCAGAGAGTAATAGAGCTCTACTCAGGCCAGCTCAGCACAGTCCCTCCTCACAGCACACAGCCAAGAGAGTCTGTCTGGATGACTAGAGTGTATGTTCTCCATGAATGTCTTACTACATCATGAGAAATATAAGAATACATATTTGTTAGCTTTAAAGAGAGGGTTTTTTAATCTCTCTTTCTAGCATAATCAAGTTTGATATGAAATACCTCGGTATATGAACTTTTTATTTTAATGTTTGTGTAAGGTACTCCACCACTAAAGTGAAAAATTGCTTCTGCCTCCAATGGCCAAAATGAAAGACATTTTCTCAATTCATAACCTATAGGGTTGCATCAGTATACAGCATCACTGAGAATTACTATATGGTCATGAATGATTTGTAGCAATACATGTGCCTGTTGAAATTTAAATATGTTTTTAGCTAAACTTAATTACTTTGTTAAGTTTTTATTAAGTTTTGTTTGAATTAATATTATCAGCAATATAACTGGTCACAGTAGTAGTTACATATTAATTATATCAGCCATTATTCGGATGCAATTGATCAGCAAAGCACAGCAAAAGTACACAAAGTTGGTTACAGTCATTGTAAATATGAACATCAAGGTTTGCATTAATAGCCCTCATTCTGTATTCTACATTTTCCTGTACATTACCATGATTCATAGGACCAGAATATTTTGGTTATGGGTTTATTTTCATAGTGACACTTTCTTTTAATGGATGTAACATCAATAAATGAATTAGTTTGGAAATGCATCTCAACTTGTGTGTTGTACTTGATGTTTGTGGGTTACAAATTGACCTCCAAAACCTGTCACCTGGCAGACTTTTTTTCCTGTTAGAATCTGAATCAGAATCACATTTAATGGCCAGGTATGTGTACACATACGAGGAATTTGACTCTGGTCTTACATTGCTCTCAATGTACATACACAGAACAAGCATAAACAAAAACACACAAACTACATTGTACATCACATACATACACACAACCATTAACAACGCAACACAATTCAAAGACAGCAAGACAATAGTGTAGTGAAGCAATAGTGCAAAGGATGCAGGAATAAATAAATATTTTTGTGCAGGATTATTATGTACATGAGGTAAGATTAAGATGAAATGCAGCACAGTGAAATGTAAAAATAATACAGTAGTATGCAACACCACAGCCATTTAACTCCCATTCTCTCTTTCTCATCCTGGCAGAGTAGGCTATAGCCAGTAGGTCACCCTTATTAAAAATATGATATTGCTTTAGGGGCTAAGGCAAAGCTCTATCTGTACGGCACATTTTCATACACAGGTTAATTCAAAGTAATGTCAATGTGACATTAATCAGGTATCAATTTTGGCATGGTGTTGTAGGGGAGACCAGGGATGGTTGTAACACGGGTAAGTTGTAACACGTCCAGTTTCTCCAATCGGGAACAAGTTACAAATCCCCAGTTTTACTCTGCAATGCTCAGTTCAGTTTTTATTTCACATGAGAAAAAGTAGCACCATGAGGCAGGCACAGCCAATCCCAAAAAATATTTTTGAGGTTCCCACACATACACTTTACTTTGGCGGCCACCCAGGTATATTAAAGGCCGCCAAGGTATATTTGGCGACACATTGTAGCATTAAGTCGCAACACGGTGGATATTTTACAAGCATGGACCAGGTAAAGCGACATTGAACACAATAGTGCAGATGTAATTTGTCAGCTACCACTTGGTTTTGTTTTGAAAGGCTAACATGCTGTGCAGCTGCTGCTGTGAATGGAGTTGCGGGAGGAAAAGTCCAGAACACAAGTTCTGTTTTTTTTCCGACATAATACCATTATACAACATAGCCTACTAC